GAGTTCAACAGCGCCTCCCTCTGACCCGTGAGCTCTGAATTTGAGCGCTTTCTCTCCATTTCAAACGACTGCACAAACTGTCCGTCGGTTCCCAATATCTCTTCGGTTGGCTGTTTGTAAGCGATTTGTGTTATACCCGACAGAACATCCTTCTCGTCCTCCCGTCCCAGCGATGGCCTCTTTCGGCGCCCTTTACTCCGAAATGTGGCACGTCGGTTCCCAATATCTCTTCGGTTGGCTGTTTGTAAGCGATTTGTGTTATACCCGACAGAACATCCTTCTCGTCCTCCCGTCCCAGCGATGGCCTCTTTCGGCGCCCTTTACTCCGAAATGTGGCGAATATTTTGAGTCCCATTTCTATGCAATAAAACATATAAATGCCACCAAATATGAGGAATATATTCCAGAAGTATATCCTATATTTGTCGTCCACGATATCAAATGCTTGCGGGAATAGATGCAGAATAGCACTGCCCTACTGGGGGACAGACATTCATATTAATTACATTTAAATCATGCATTGAAATTGCAAAGTATATTGTTAAAACTATAAAACTTTACAAATACTGTATTTATAGAGCTTAAACAACTTTCGTTAAACATTTTCTTAAGATATTTGTAACACATGCTAACCGCTAGACCGCCGACGGCCAGCCCCTCGAATAGGGTAAGTATTATACGGCGGGCGTCTCTGTTGAGAAACGGCAACACAACGAGCCCTCCCATCGACACTACAATGGAAAGCGTGACAAACAATACACCGAAACCCCAGACCCTCTCAATAGAGGGTTCGACGAGTTTGAGTGTCTGTTCCGCGTCGTCGTTGTGGCCGCGAATGGAGTCGCCGTCACAAATGGGTCGCGTTTGTTGAAACAGTATGAGTGGACACAACCGGGCGATCACCTGATGAAACTCCAACCCTTCGCGACCGACCAGATCCAGCATTTCGCTGGACGACAAGCACTCGCTGGTGACCGCATCGCACAGCTCTTTGCTGCTCTTCTTCTTGGAGGACAACTTATCGCACGCGAGGTCTCTGTCCTCCATCGGTGACATACGACCCGACCGTCGCCGCAGTTGTATGTCATGGAAGTAGTCGATGAGACGACTGACCCGACTCTCGTTGAATTTGATTTTGTGCGTCGGGTCGAGGATTATGTGCGCCCGGAGTAACACGAATCGCGCCAACCGTTCGATGTCTTTGATGTGATCTATGATCGGTTCCACAGGAGTTGTGATTACGGGCTCCGGTTCTGTGGTGTTCATCACCTCCACAGCGGCCGCCGCTGTCTCTGACTCGTGCTCTTCCTCTGGATAGTCAATACTCGCCAAAAGTGGACCAAAAATTGTTACACATATTGTTATATGAAATAAGATTTTCATAATTTCTTTGCCATAAAATAAAATATTTCTTTAAATTATTTTTTTCTGACAAAAAAAACTTTTCTTAACTATAATTCACTTCTAATTGAGTGAAACACTTGACTATAAAAACCGTTATACGAGTGGAAATGCAAACATTTTCCATGAATTGATATGTATTGTGTGCTCAAAAAGACACTGAAAATGTTTTAAATACATGTATTAAAAGACAATTACAATTATCCAGTCGTCGTATCTCTCGTATCCAATAATCAATTAATTTACAGATAATAACAACAAAAAGCAAAGCAAACACTAATGCGATTCGTGTTTAATAATAAAAAGATAGTGTTATTTAGTGGTGTACTTGAAATATAAGCCCTATTTTTGTTTATTTGTTTAATAATCTCGATTAGTTAAATAATAGTTTTAATTGATTATGTTTAAATATGAAACAATTGTACAGTAATTGTAAACCAAACGCAAACAAATACCAGAATAATTTGCTAAGTGTTTAGAGAATTTGCAGGAATTTAATTCATTGAACACACCATTAGATTATGCATTGAATTGATACTCGATTTACGTGATCGCGATTTAATGAATACGTGATCGACAGTTATATCAGAGTTTTTTTGCGTGAAACTTGTTTAAAATGTCGGGAAATGAAAGATTTATCGCACGTATTCCTGTCTCTGATTATAAAACAGGATTCAATTTAAGAAAATATTATATATATAAATAGTTAAAACAATTCATTTAATCACTTCAATTGATCTCAAGACACACGACAACATATGATAGTAATGGAAAAACCACTCTTGAATTCAGACAACAGTGAAGAGGTAATGAAAAATGCTTTCATTGAACACTTGTTTAAATGAATTAACGCTTTTATGTGTTGTCTGTCTCATAGACTTCAACTGATTTGCATCGAAATAAAGACTCTTTGGATCGATTCGATGATAGTTTATGTGTACTGTTATTGCCTTACTTGCCGTTCAAAGACCTCATTCGCTTGGAATGCGTGTCCAAACAGTTCCAGACAGTGACTAAGTCGGCGCTCACGGATCACAAGACGCTCGTAATCGATGACGATTTGATGGGACCGAAGGGTTGCGCGATTCATGTGAATCGATTGATGAACGAAATCAAAAGGCTCTGTCCACACATCGAGAGAATTGACGTTCACGGATACAAAAGACAGAATAAAATTATTGGCCAACTCAATAGCACTAATTTTCCCAGATTGACACAGGTTTACTGCGATTTTAGCAAATTGTGCAACATTGGTGCCCAGTTATGGATAGAATTGGGGCAATACATCACAGGCGTTGAATTCTATCGCATTGAAGAGGCTTTCTTCAGACCAATTGATCCAAAGATGGCTGCGATGAGAGTTATCAACAAAAGGAGAGATTTGTTAAAGTATTTTAAAAATATTTCATTTATGAGAGTCAGAAATTTGGAACAAGTGTTCGATAAAACAACCGGAAAATTGTCGTTCAACTCATTGAAAGGATTTGAGATAATATTCAATGAAGTGGCACATTTAAAGCTGTGGTCCGAATTCGTGAAAGGCAATAATTCACTCAAATATGTGAGTATGGAGGATGCCACTGGTGATGAATATCTGAGCAAGGCAAAAGAAGTGGATCCAAGTATTACACAAATTGTGAATTTTGCACAATTTGCCGAAGGATTGTCACAATTATCACAATTAAAAATACTATCGCTCGGAATAAACTCGTCCCAAATCACGGAAGACTCATTGAAATTGATTGGCAAAAATTGCAAACAACTGACAAAATTTCAATTGGAATTTTTTTCAAAGGATCACAAACTAGACGACAACATATTTGAATCGTTACAAGATTGGCCTAGATTGAAGCAAGTGATTATACGCGGCAAGTATTTTACGAAAAGCATTTTATCTGAATTGAAACATTGCGCTCAATTAGAATTATTATCACTTGATACCAATGTGTTGAACATCGACTCATTGTTTGGAGACAAACTATTTCCGCGACTTAAGGACTTGTATTTAAACGGATCGAATATAAGCATTACCACTTTATCATGCATCGCAAAACTACCCGTGTTAAAAACACTAAACATAAACGGATCATATTATTACAGTAGAGATGCAATAGAGAAAAACTAATAAAACTCTAAAAATTTGATGAATTACATATTTATAATAACTATATTTATATTATAACGCGTTTACTAATTTTAATGTTAAATTTTTAAATATGCTCAGAAAATAAGAGGTTAAATAAGAAGGAATAAATATTCTAAATTTATATTCAAACTTATTTGTGTTAAAAGATATGTATTTAAATGTAGTTTTAAATAAATATTTTAAAAAATCATAAGTTTTAACTCTAAAGTAAAACAAAACTATATTTAAAACACATCATTATTGTAAAACTAATTCAATTTATTTGGTCAAGAATTGAATTAAATTATAGCCCTTCCCATCGCAATCAGTTTAACGCCGGTTAAAACTGTAAATCACTTAAATCCATGAATACAAGTTTCATTGCTATAATCATACGATCGGTTCGAGACATACACTGTGCCAACTGTTCCCGAGTGGAGTTCAACAGCGCCTCCCTCTGACCCGTGAGCTCTGAATTTGAGCGCTTTCTCTCCATTTCAAACGACTGCACAAACTGTCCGTCGGTTCCCAATATCTCTTCGGTTGGCTGTTTGTAAGCGATTTACTCTCTCTCTCTCGTTCTCTCTCTCTCTCTCTCTCTCGCTCTCTGGCTTTGGTCTCACAACCCCTTCCTCTCTGTCCAACAGCCGCCGCACGTGAAGTGTTTGACCCGTATATGGCATCCAAACATCTCCGAAGAGGGAGACATATGTTTGAGTTTATTACGCGAGAGCTCTATAGACGCGATGGGTTGGGCGCCCACCCGAACCCTCAAAGACGTGGTTTGGGGTCTCAACTCACTATTTACTGTACGATATATTTCGCTGTTTAACTCATGTTACATGTGAATAATGTTTGCGATAACACTAATTGTCTCGTGTTTTAGGATTTACTAAATTTTGATGACCCGCTCAACGACAAGGCGGCCGACCATTACCTCAGAGACCGCGAGAGCTTTCAACTCAAAGTTAGGGATTATGTTCACAAATATGCAAAGTCTTAATAACATTACGATATTATTTATTATTTAAACAAAATAACTTTTTAGCAAAAAAACATCTCGTTTTAATTCTCTCTCTCAGTTGTCATATGTTTTTTAAATAAATATTTTTCAAATACTAATAAAACAATTGTCTCGAAACACTTGTCCGCAGTTTTTATGTTTGTTTGCTGTCTATTCGAGAGATTTTTCGACGATGTCTTCCAACTCGATGTTCTCGAAATCCATTTCCCGCTCATAGAAGGCCAGAAGGGATAGGAATATGACCGACAGTATAATACCCACGTTCTGTAGGGCCAGTATCTGAACCATACTCTTGACCCCCTTTCGGGACGCGTTCTCCATCGACCGGTTCATCGCTCGCATCACATCCACGAGTGCCATATACAGGAAGAAACCGCCTAAACGTTGGGGTCATTCATTGGAAACAGCAATCATTAGGCTATTGTTTAGACACATAGGGCCACACGTGTGGTCTTACCGGCCAAAGCAAATATGTAAGGACTGGCCTCCTCTGCCTCATCGCCCAGGAATATGCCGAGCGCTAGACCCGGATAGACAGCACAGGCGCACAACAGTATATACAGAAAGCTTTGCTTCATTTTCATGCCGGCGCGTATGAGGACAGCGAATGTGCCCAACCTATGGGCCACCTCTTCCAACATAATGGCCACCGAAATGCTAATACCGGCCAAAATGTTTCGGTCAAACGCCGCCCCAATGGACAGACCGTCGATAAAGTTGAGCAGAGCGTCGCCCAACACTATCATCCACGCGACGGTGTCTATGGCAACGGTTGGCGAAGAGTTTTGGTCAAAGCGCTGCGACCGGACGCCGGGCACAAAGTTTTCCTTCGCGTGCTCTTTAGTAGAGTTTTTGTTGTCCAACGATTTGATGGACAACACGTCCACACTTCCGGCAATGGTCTTCTGGTTGGGACTGACGGGCACTACATTGACGGTCGACATACACTGCGCCAACTGTTCCCGAGTAGAGTTCAACAGCGCCTCCCTCTGACCCGTGAGCTCTGAATTTGAGCGCTTTCTTTCCATTTCAAACGACTGCACAAACTGTCCGTCGGTTCCCAATATCTCTTCTGTTGGCTGTTTGTAAGCGATTT